AGAGACAGAGTCTCACCATGTAGTTTAGGCTGGCCTTGACCTCACTATGTAGCCAAAACTGGTCTCTAACTCATGGTGATCCTCCTGCCTCAGCTTCCCAAGTGCTGGGAAGCTGAGGTGTGTGCCACCACACCCAGCCTGGAATTTGGGTTTTAGAGGTACTGGTGAAGTACTACATCAGGACTGGGAGTTTCAGGGTAGGAGTACAAAAATTTGTTTTACTATTCATTGTGGCAGTTAAAAGAATAGGGCTTTTGGGGTTTTTTTTTTCCTTTTCTTTTTTTTTTGATACTGGGGATCAAACTCGGAACCTTGCGCTTGTGAGGCAGGCGGTGGAACCACTGAGCTAAATCCCCGGCCCTTCCTGATACTGTTTTTTGTTTTTTGTTTTTTTTTGAATAGGGCTTTTTTTGGGCCAGGGATAAAGCTGTTCAAGACCATACAGCTGAACATTAGGAGTTCTAATCTGATTTGCTTTGGTCCATATCTACTATTAATTAGGAAGTTGGCAGCTTTTTTGATTCAGATGTGAGAAAACCATGTTGCTATGGAGGTAAGACTTGGTTGACGGCTTATGAAGTTCCTTCCAGTGCCTGCTCTTTTCTGTTAGTTTCAAAAACCAATAGGCAAAAAAAAAAACCCAACAACTCAATAGGCTCCAGGATTGGAGATCTAGCTCAGTGATGCTGCCGCCCGCCCGCCTCAGAAAGCGCAAGGTCCTGAGTTTGATCCCCGGTACCAAAACCAAAACCAAAACCAAACCAATAGTCTCCAGCTGGCTGAAAACAAAATGTAAAAGTTTTTCTAAACTTCAGCATTTTCTCAGACGTCCTTAGCTGCTCTTCTCTGAGACAGCTGTATACGGCTAGCTGTATCTGGGAGCTATTCAGTGATAGGGCAAGATCTTATAGAGATACATAAATGATCCTTACTGTGCTGGACCAATAATCAGCATATCTGAATCTCTTTCAAATAGCCTGGAGCTAAGTTTTGCTAGCCAAACCACAGATTGATTTCTTAGCAAGGCCCCTTAACCTTAAGCTTTATACTCAAAACATTTATGGGGTTTTTTTTTTGGTACTGGGGATTGAACTCGGGACCTTGTGCTTTCAAGGCAGGAGCCAGAAGCACTGAGCTAAAGCCCCGGCCCGTTTTTTGTTTTTTTTTTTTTGAGACAGGTTCTCACTGTGTAGTTCAGGTTCAACCTGAACTCACTATGTAGCCCAGTCTGGCCTCGAATTTGCAATGATCCTCCTGCCTCAGCCTCCCAAGTGCTGGGATTACAGGTATGCACCACCATGTCTGGCCTATGACTTCTTTTAACATCAAACAGTGGACTGTAATGAGACAATGACCAAAGGTTGAAGCAGGAGGATTCTAAGTGTAAGCCCAGCCTGGGAAATTTAACAAGACTCTATCTAGGGCCAGGGATTTAGCTCAGTGGTTCCACCGCCTGCCCCGCAAGCTGAAGGACCCAAGTTTGATCCCCGGTACCAAAAAAAAAAAAAAAAAACCAAACAACTCTACCTAAAAACAAGAGAGAGAAAAGTAACATGTAGTGGTATACACCTGTAATCTAGAATCTCTGGGAGGGCCAGGGATTTAGCTCTGGTTCCACAGCCTGCCTCGAAAGTGCAAGGTCCCGAGTTCAATCCCCAGTACCCCCCCCCAAAAAAAGCAAAGAAATTACCTCTAGGTCTCTTAAATTTAAATCTTTGCAGAATCTCTGGGAGGCAGAGGCATGAGGATCATCAAACTGAAGCCAAGACTAGGCAACTTAGTGACACAGCAAGACCCTATCTCAAAAATAAAAACTAAGAAAGGGCTAGGGATATAGCTCAGTACAAAGGTTCTGGGATCAATCCTTAGTATCACAAAACAAACAAAAACAAAAACAACAGGGCTGGGGATTTAGCTCAGTGGTGCCGGTGGCTGCCTTGCAAGCATAAGGTCGAGTTTGATCCCCAGTACCAAAAAAAACAAACAAAAAACCCCAACAAAAAAAGACAATGAACTCTGCCCAGATCCATTCCTGATTATTTGAGGGAATTAGACTATATCAATAGATCTCTTTCTCTCCTTCCTTTCTTCTTTCTTTTCTTTTTTTCTTGACATGAAACCAGGGGTTCGCTGGTATATTTATTTTATAAATGAGGATTTTGTAGTGAGTAGTTTTCTTTATGACTGCCACTGAGGACAAAATACTGGCTTTTGATGGAGGAGTACTAAAAGAAGATGAAAAAATGTATTTTGAGGCAGGGATGTAGCTCAGTAGTACAGTGCTTATGAGAGGCCCTGGGTTTGAGTTACAGCATCATAAAAAAATTTTTTTTCCCCTTAACCTCTAAAAAGAAGCAGGAGAGGGATCCAGGGGGGAAATAGGATAAAATAAAATAAAATTTATTAAAATAAAATAAAAAAAGAAAGCAAAGACAAATACCATCCAAATTGTAAACTCATTTAGTGGTTTAGCATACACTTCTAGGGTGGGTGGGTGGGTAGGTGTGTGTGTGCACACTGAAGATTAAACCCAGGAACTCTTGTATTCTTTTGTTTGTTTTCTTTTTGGTACTGGGGATCAAACTCAGGACCCTGCACTTGCAAGGCAGGAGGCAGAACCACTGAGCTAAATCCCTGGCCCAGGAACTCTTGTATTCTAAGCACATGCTCTACCTCTGAGCTACACTCCCAGCCCACAATTCTAGTGTTGATTGTTAGCCCTCTGACTTGGACCTTGGCTTTTAAGCCCTGGACAAGGCTGAAAGTTTGACTCAGGTACAGGTAAGTCATCACTGGGTTCCAATGACCCATTATCTCACTGGAAGGCAGCACCATTAGCAACAAATATACTGTACTTCAAAACTGTATGTTAGGGCTGGGGAAGTAGCTCAGCAATGCCATGCCTGCCTGGCAAGCACAGGGTCCTAAGTTCGATTCCTGGTACCAGAAAACAAAACAAAACAAAACTGTGTGTTAGTGTTTAGTGAGTGCTGCTCTTACCTGAATCCCACAGTGCACAGCCAAAAGAAGTTAGGAATTGAGGAAAAACAAAATAACAACAAAAAAGACCAAATACCTCTGAGAAAAGGTCTGAGCAGCTTCTAATGAAAGTTACAAAAAAAAGACAGGAATTTGTTTCTTTCTCTTTGGTTGTTTCAGAACATGAGCCCATGGTTCATATCCTTAATAGGAGATGCTCAGCGGCTGTCTCAGCTGGATTATCCTTCAGTTCCAGGCTTTCAATAGTGTATGAGTGGATCTCTCTTCAGGACAGGAAAAGGAGCTAAAGTTTGAAGCCAGAATGAATGGCCACAATGCCTGAAGTAAGACTTTCATAAGTCACCTTTTGAAAACCTGCATCTTCTATCATCTCCTTGAATTCTTCCTAAAACACAAGGAAAGATACAACAAGGATTACCTGAATTTCAACTTTAAGGTCTTTGTTAAGCTACAGAAATATTGTACCTGAGATGGGAACTTCCGGATACTCTCCACAAGGTATTGATAGGACTTCCAGTCTCCTGCAATGACCTCTCCTAGGACAGGAATGACCTGGAAGCTATATAGATCATAAAGCCTAAGCAAACAAACAACAAAAAAGACAAAAGATTAAGACTAGAACATGCCCTGGGTTCATTCCCAAAAGGGGGAAAGAAAAATGCCCTGAATTCTTCCCTCAATAAGAAGCAAGAGAACCAGGCATGGTGGTGCATGCCTATAATCCCAGCACCCGGGAGGTTAAGGCTGAGGCAGGAGGATTGCTGAGAGTTCAGGGCTAGTCTGGGCTACATAGTAAGTTGAAGGTTAGCCTGGATAACATAGCAAGACCCTGCCTCAAAAACCAGAAAAAGAAAAAAAAAATCAAGAAGGTCTAAGCTCAGGGTCACAAACAAATGCCTGTAGGGTATCAAGCAAGTACCTTAACTAAGGGAAGTGGCTAGCTGCAAAACCAAGATGTGTGGTGACAGGTACAGTTAGAAAGTACCAGAAAAGTGGGAAGAGGCAGTTACTACTTCACTTCACTCTGACAACTGCACATGGGAATATGGGCCTACTCAGGGTTGCCATATATCTGATTTCTCAAGTTAAGCTGGAAATCCAGATTTGTTTTTTTTACCCCGTACTGGGAATCAAACTCAGGACCTTGCACTTTTGAGGCGGGTGCAGCACCACTGAGCTAAATCCCTGGCCCATTCTAGATTTTTTTTGGCGACAGGGTCTCACTCTGTAATTCAGGCTGGCCTTGAACTCACCACGTAGCCCAGGCTGGCTTTGAACTTGTGGAAATTCTCCTGCCTCAGCCTCCTGAGTGCTAGGATTACAGACATGCACCACCATGCCTGGCTGGAAATCCAGATTTTTATGTAAAATTTCCTGATTTTAAGTCAATTTCTTGGGCACTATGTTCTCTCTTGCATGGTGGCCCACTCTCACAATGTAAGGTGTGCTTCTTTTCCTTTTACTTGGCCAAAACTTGCTCTGCAGAGCTTGTTTCTTCTCCTACCTTTAATAAAACCTTGCTACCATTAAAAAAAATAAATCAATTTCTTTTTTTTTCTTTTCCCTCCCTCTCTTCCTTCCTTAGTGGTGCTGGGGATTGAACCCCAGAACCTTGTGCAAGCTAGGCAAGCACTTTACCCCCTGAGTTACTAAGTTGATTTCTTAAAATACTATATGAGTAAGTAGGGCCGGGGATTTAGCTCAGCGGTTCCAGTGCCTGCCTTGCAAGCACAAGGTCCCAAGTTCGATCCCTAGTACCAAAAAACAAAAACAAAATTATATGAGTAAATAAAAATATAAAATGTTGTTGAACTTGGCCCTTGGGTTCCTGGTTTGAGATTCTTCTAGCCTACATACTGTCACTCGGAGCTAACTGACCTCTTTGGGTGGGAATGTCCTTCCCGGCCTCTGGGACCCTGAACTAACCGACTTGGCTAGTCAATGAAGAAAAAGCCCCATTATCAATGCCAACCTGGATATGAGGGGATTGTTTACTTGGCTAAACTCCAGACACAGAAACCTTCCTCCAGGCTTCAGGACCCGATGAGCTTCTTGGAGTGCCTGAAAGAGACAAGAATAACAGGACACAATTCTTAGCAGACTTCACTCAATTCCATGAAGCTGAGACAGCACTAGCTACTATGGGCATTAGAAACATGATTTCCCACAAATCCCTTGTTTATCGTCAGTTGGGAAGCTGTAACAGCAAAAAATAAGCCCATGTATTCTAAATGCTATAGGCATTCTGCTGCCCATAACTATTTTTGGGGGGAGGGGGTTTGAGAGAGGGTCTCACTATGTAGTTCATGCTGGCCTTAAACGCATAGTGATCCTCCTGCCTCAGGCTCCTGAGAGCTGGGATTACAGGCTAGTGCCACCATGCCTGGCTCTGCTGCCCATAGCTACAGAAGGTTACTAATTACAGATTTGTACAGCTTCAAGAAGAACACTTTAAAATTTGGATCAAAATCAGAGTGGCTATCCTCTTTAACAGAACAATTTTACAACAATCTTTTTTGGGGGCGGAGGGTAGTACTGGGGATTGAAGCCAGGGCTTTTGCACAGGGCTACATCCCTAGCCCTTTTTCTTTTTTTTTTTTTGGTACTGGGGATCGAACTTGGGACCTTTTGCTTGCGAGGCAGGCAGCGGAACAACTGAGCTAAATCCCTGGCCCTAGCCCTTTTTCATTCTGAGACAGGGTCTTGTATATTGCCCAGGCTGGGATTGAACTTGTAATCTTCCTGCCTCAGCTTCCTGAGTAGCTAGGATTTACAGGGATAAGCCACTGTTCCTGACTCAAAGAATCTATTTCATGGAAATGCTTCTACTGTGGAAATGGCATGTATATGGGCAATTCACTACTTGAATAGCACAAGATTAGAGAAATCTTTAACCATTAATGAGTCTGTTTAAATAATGGAATAGCCGCACAAATGGGATGCAGAGCAAACTGCTCATTTCACTGCCAGGAAGTAAGAAAGGATGGCTAGCCCAGGGTCCCCAAATCCCAAAGACCTAACAACCTCCCTCAGCACCCTGCCTTCTAAGGTCCACAACACTTCTCAACAGCGCCACCCTGAGGAACAAGTCTTTAACACATGGACCTTTGGTGAATACCCGTATTAAACTATTATATATTAATGTAATATATTTAACAAGTATTATATAATTTTTATATAATTTATTATATTTATATTATACTGCTATGGCAAGCACTTTAAAGAACATTCACCCAAAGCAGAAAACTAGACAATTGGAGACCATATTACATATATGAAATCTGTTGCCTTGCATATGATTTTCAAATCTTTTTTGTTGTTGTTGTTGTTTTGCTTTTTTGTTTTTTTGGTACCAGAGATCGAACTCGGGACCTTGCGCTTCAGAGGCAGGCGCCAGAACCACTGAGCTAAATCCCCGGCCCCCATGCTGTTTTTTGAGACAGGGTCTTGTTATATAGACCATGCTGGCCTTGAACTCACTATGCAAACCAGGTTAGCCTCTAACCCATGGCTATCCTGCCTCAGCCTCCCAAGTGCTGGGATCACAAGCATGCACCACGACGCCCAGCTTGATTTTCAAATCTTTTCAGCAGAATGTTAATGTAGAAATAAAGAAGAACAAGGGCCAGGGATTTACCTCAGTGGTTCTGCTGCCTGCCTTGAAAGCGCAAGGACCCAAGTTTGATCCCCAATACCAAAAAAAAAAAAAAAAGAAATAAAGAAAACTGAATCAAAAAGCCAAAAAAAAAGAAAAGAAAAGGTGAATGAGATTTAAAAAAGCAACATTCCCTTTTCTCTATAGATGAACTATGATCTATATTCTACCAAAATAGCATCTGAATACCTTTTGCTGTGCCTGCCTCTGACCATGCCTCTGATCTTTATCAAACTGACAGACAGCTTCCCAAGTGAGAGGAAATAGACGAAATGCCAGAGCAAGTCCAACCATCCCAAATATGTAAATGCCAACTGAAGCAACCAAGACTTCCATCCGGAGCTGCTCTGTGATTTTGGTCCTTTTCAGTTTTGTAACTAGGAAAATTGGCAACTTAAAATAGTCACTCTACTAAGTGCCAAGCCCAAGGAAGAATTTCTCCTCTCCTGCTTCACTATGGATCTACTCCAAGAGTCAAACAAGTCACACAAGAGTCACACAAGTCACACAAGTCAAGGAGGTAGCCATTCACACCTGGTCAATATGTGTGACATTCCGGATCCCGAAGGCAATGGTGTAAACATCAAACTTGTGATCATCAAAGGGCAGTTCTTCAGCATCTCCCAGTACCCATGCAAGTCCTGGAAGAGAAAATCAGTTCTGAGTTTCAGCTCAGGTAGCTGTCTTCCCTACATGCAGAGAATTATTATTATTACTTTTTTTTTTTTGGTACTGGGGATCAAACTCAGGTCCTTGCGCTTGCGCAACAGGCGGCGAAACCACTGAGCTAAATCCCCGGCCCTATTATTATTACTCTTACTACTACTACTACTATTATTAATATTATTATTCTTATTATTATTGAGGCAGGGTTTGAATGGATAGTTTAGGGTGATCTTGAACTCACTATTGTAGCCCAGGCTGGCCTCGAACTCAGCGATCCTCCTGGCTCAGGCCCCCAAGTCCCAAGTGCTGGAATTATAGGTGTGTGCCATCATTCCTGGCTACACCCAGATTATTGAACCAAAAGAATTTGTAGTTGGGTAGGCAGAAGTGTGAGTAGCCACAGCACCCAATTTATGGTTGGCATCTGAAGTGGAAGGAGTTTTGTGGGACTGAGCCCTTAAACCTGTAGAAAATGAAGTAAAATCTGGGTAGTGTCAGAAATGAAGTGAGCAGCTAAGCACCAACCTACTGTTGGAAAATTGTTTTGCGCTGGGAAAATATCACATACTTGGTGTCAGAAAACACACCTGCCTCATCTGCTCAGTTCCTGGTGACTCTCTTCATGGTGTCCGATCCTGAGAGTCTGGAGCTGGTATCCTTGAAGTTTATCCTTCTCAGCCTTTCTTCCGAGAGCCTTACAGTACAATCTGATCACTGCTTAGTTTACCCACCCTCATGCAGCTTTTATTTGGATGTTGGGATTCACACCCAGTGTCTTGGGCATGCTAGGCAAGCACTTTTATTACTAAGCTATATAATTAGTCCCACCCTCAAGCGATTTTTATCCATCCAAGTGTTTTGTGCAGAGCACTGTGATTAAAGAGTGCAGGCCCTGTGGTTAGACTGCCTGTGTTATAATACAACTTTCATATTTTATTTTATTTCTTGTGGTACTGTAGATTGATCCCAGGGCCCTCGCACTGAGCTACATCCTCAGGCCTTTTTTCCCCCCCAGGCCTTATTTGTGGAGACAGGATCTTGCTCTATAATTCAGGCTGGCATTGAACTCACTATGTAGCCCAGGATAGCCTCAAACTCATGACAATCCTCCTGCTTCAGTCTTTCAAGTACTGGGATTACAGGTGTGCTCCACCATGCCCAGTTTCTAGGCCTTTTAAAAAATTCTTATTTTTTAACTTGGAGTCAACTTCTGGCCAAATCACTAAGTTGTCCAGGCTGAGCTCAAACTTGCAATCCTCCTGGCTCAGCCTCCAAGAGCACTGCAATTATAGGCATGGGCCACCATCCTGGGCAAAATAAAGTTTTATGGGTTTTTTTGGCACCAGGGATCGGACTCGGGTCCTTGCGCTTGTGCAGCAGGAGGCGAAACCACTGAGCTAAATCCCTGGCCCTAAAATAAAGTGTTTTGATGGGCCAAACATAGGAGTTTTTTCTTCTTCTTCTTCTTCTTTTTTTTTTTGAGGTGCTGGCAATGGAATCCAGGATCTTAGAAACAGTGGGCAAGTGCTCTACTACTGAGCTACATCCCCAGCCTAGAAGGTTGGGTTTATAAACAGATAAAAGTTGAAGAAAGCAGAAACAACACAGCAAGAAAAAAGATTGGTCATTTAAAAGTTAGTTTCCTTGTAAGAGGAGGCCAGAGAATGGTCTCTAAGGGAATGAAAATAATCTTTCAAAATACAAACGAGTGCCAGACATAGTGCAGCATGCCTGTAATCCCAGCACTCAGGAGGCGGAGGCAGGAGGATTGCCAAGAGTTTGAGGACAGCCTGGGCTACACAGCAAGACTTTGTCTCAAGCAAACAGAGAAAAGGTGGCAACTTCAGGCAGTGGGCCACGCTGGCTGGGTACAGTGGTGTAAAGCCTGGCCACAGGGACACCTCTGCTCTGCCAGAGCCGCGGGCTTCCTCTTTTCTACTGTGTCCATCACCTGTTCACCTCCCAGATGGAGGGGGAGCTCAGAGTGACTCAGGCTCTTGGAGAAAAGTTTCCTCCAGCTACAGCTATCAAGGTCACTGACATTTCAGGAAGCTGCAGAGCAATGTATATAATTAAAATAGAAAATAAATAAATAAACAAATAAAATTAAAATGAATCAGAAGAATTTAAGGAGAAGAGAACTCTCTGTCCAGCAGCACCAGATGGTTAATCAGGTACTAAAAGAAGAAATCAAAGGGATGCATGGGGTATGGATATTTACCTCTGTCCCCAAATACTGCTCCTGCCCTGATTGTGTAGATGCTGGGCTCAGGATGACTTCATCTACAGCATTCTTTGGCAAAAAGTGTATCTATTTTTCTTTATAGAGATTTCTATATTAGAAGATATGTTAACTATTTAGATGTTAATTAAAGGCCATAGACAACTAAAAACATAATAAAATAAAATACAAATAAGAGGACCAGGGATTTAGATCAGTGGTTCTGCTGCCTGCCTCGCAAGCACAAGGTCCTGAGTTCGATCCCTGGTACCAAAAAAAAATACAAATATGGGCTGGGAGTATAACTCTGTGGTACAGTGCTTGCCTAGGATATACGAGGCTCCGGGCTCCACCTCTAACAGCAAAAAACCAAAACATATATACAAATAAGCATATACATAGATATATACATATATGTGTATATATAATATATATAGGTATATATATAATGCAGTATTAGACATGAAAAATGCTTTTACAAAATAATTTCTAAGGCTTAGCAGGTGCCAGGGCCTGGGTTCCATCCCTACCAGTGAAAAAAAAAAGTAGGGACCCAGGGCCAAGAGCAATGGCTCGAGGCCTGCCCTGCTGCTTATCACGTGAGTGGTCTATCTGAACTTCAGTTCTTTCACTTGTAAAATGATTACTAGGACAATCCTGTAAGGTCATCACAGAAGTAAATGAGTTACCTGTGTACAAAGCACCTAGCACACCCATCTGTGTCATTTAAGATAAGACCACACCTTACTTTGTCAAGGCAGTCAGTCCCCTGGCTCTCCCTCTGAGGCCAGCAGGTGGCTAGCATGTTTCTGAATTAGGCAAAGCTTTACATATGGATTTGGTGCGGTTCTGAAACAATCAGTTCCTCTTTGGCTTCCTTCTAAGGCAATTTGCATTTTAAAATTCATTTTAAACATCTTCCTTTGCAATTTTCAAACACGCATCTATAAAACTGAAGGGAATGAACTTACTGTACCTCAGGGACTCACCATTCAGCTTAATAATTGTCAACATAGGGCCAATTTTATTTCATCAGACCACAGCTACTTTCTCTCCCTACTCTAATTAGATTGTTTTGAAATAAACTACAAATATAATTTCATTTATAACATTTCAGTAGATATCTTTAAAATATTAGGAATCCCCCCCCCCTTTTTTGTGACACTGGATTTAACCTGGTGTACTCTACCACTCAGCTACATACCCAGTCCTTTTTATTTTTAAATTGCCCAGACTAGATTCCAACTTTCCATCCTCCTGTTTCAGCCTCTCGAATAGCTGGCATTACAGACCTGTGCTACTATGCCCAGCAACCCCGCCCAAGAAATCTTTTAAAACATAACCACAATCATACTACTACCTCTGAGAAATTTATAATTCTTTAAGCCAGTGTTCAAATTTCCTTGCTTTTTCTCATAAATTATTTTTTAATTTATTATTTTTCTTGTGGTAAAATACACATAGAATTTATCATCATAAGTTTGTTGGGAGTCAGTACTGGGGATTGAACCCAAGGCCTTTACTACATTTCCAAAGCTTTTTATTTTTTATTTTGAGACAAGATCTCACTAAGTCACTAAATTGCCCAGGCTGAACTCAAACTTGATCCTCCTGCCTCAGCCTCCTTTTTTTTTTTTGGTACCAGGGATCAAACTCGGGTCCTTATGCTTGCAGGGCAGGCAGCGGAACCAGAGTTAAATCCCTGGCCCTGCCTCAGCCACCACACCTGGCCCAAAGTTCTGGGATTATAGGTGGGTACCACCACATCCATCCTAACTAATTTTAAATGTATAGTTCAGTGGTTTGAAGTACATTTGTATCTTGTGTAGCCATCACTATCATCTGATAGGTCTGACCGCCATCTGCCCCTGTTGAGTTGCTGGGCATGATGAACAATCACAGCCCATTCCTATATCCTGTGCCCCTCAGCCCCCAGCCTGGGAACAATGCCTACTCTGCTAGAACTAAATACACCCACCCCAACTGCTAGGTCACAGCAACTGTTTCTATAGCCACAGACTCAGTCATTCTTGGGCCCCCAATCTCATTCCCCCATTTTTCTATCATCCCACCTAAGCCTGTCTCAATAAATTGGACTCAAGCCAGGCATGGTGATACAATCCTGTAATTCCTGGACTTGGGAGTCTGAGGCAGGAGGATTGCTACGAGTTCAAGGCCAGCCTGAACTACATAGCAAGACTCTGTCTCTCTAAAAAACTAAAATTAAAAAAAACCAAAACAAAACTGGACTCGGACTCTCCTTTGGAGTTACTCCAGGAGGGCCTGCCTGGACCCTGACCCCCCCAAATTCAGGCTGGCTGTGTCCTTTATCAGACTGTCACCATTCACCTAACATCATCCATATCCTTAATTAAAAAAAAAAATTTCTATTGCCCTCTTACTTAGATTCAACTTAATTTTGTCTATTTGGAGTACTGGGGATTGAACCGAGGGCCTTCTCACTGAGCTATATCCCCAGCCCTTTTTAAATTTTTTTACTATGAGACAGGGTCTCACTAAGTTGCTAAGTTGCCTAGGCTGAGCTTAAACTTGCAATCTTCCTGCTTCAGCCTCCTAGAGAGCTGGGATTTCAGGTATGCACCACCATGCCCAGGTTTAACTTGTTTTTGCATAAGTTTTTGCAAAGGCATTATTGGGGACTGATAAAGCAAGAAGGAAAGGAAACAACTGTACTTGTACTATGGTATGCAATGCTTAATAATTCCTTGTCAGTTAGGAAAGACTGAAGGAGAGCTTCGCAATGGAAGATACAATTCCAGAAATGGAATTTTATCTATCATTTCAACATGTGCTCTCTGTTCTTTATGGCTGAGCACCAGAGAGAAGGGAAATATATTTTTCAGTAGGAGTAAGAAAACATGGTGCCTTTGTCTAAAAGTACTGGTGACTGTCTGCCATCTGATTAGTGTTGATGGCTAACAAAAGAGCCCTTCATCTTGGGGACCAAGTGGGCTGCAGTTCATCTACACTGCTCTCTCTGGGGGCAGGAGGAGGAGGAAGAATTGAGCTAAAACAACCTTAGACACTCACGGTGGTCAGGGAGAGGAAAGAAATGCTGATGTTGACCCCAGGGACTTTGTTTTCTTTGCTGCATACCTATGCCCCTCACTAAGGCTGTCTCAGTGCCCAGCCAGCTTGGAAGAGGGTAGTGCAGCAGCCCTGACAGCTGGTCAAGAAGGTGCAGCTTCCAGGGTCTTTAATGAACTTGAAAAAATCAGGGACAGCTAGGTGTAGTGGTACACACCTGTAATCCCTGTGCTTGGGAGGCTGAGGCAGGAGGATCACCTGAGTTCAAGGCCAGCCTGGGACATATAATGAGTTCACAACCAGCCTGAACTGTATAGCAAGTCCCTATCTTAAAAAAAAACAAAACAAAGCAAAACAGGCTGAGGATGTAGCCTTTTGTGAAGTTACAGTGTTTAATTTTATGTACTATAAAAAATAAAATAAATTTAAAAAGAGTCCTGCCTGGAAGCCAGGTATAGTAGCACACATCTGATAGGAAACTGAGGCAGGAGGATTACAACTCCAAGCCACCCTGAGCTATTTAGTGATTTAGTGAGATTCTACCTCCAAAATAAAAAAGGACTGAGGCTGTAGTTCAATCCTTTCTCTCTTTTTTTGGTACTGGGGGATCGAACTCAGGACCTTCCACTTGTGAGGCAGGCGGCAGAACCACTGAGCTAAATCCCCAGCCCCTGTAGTTCAGTCCTAAGTATGACAAACAAACAAACAAAAGAGTCCTCGTTGGGAACTGTCCAGGCCCTAGAAGCTACACGGTGCTCAGTCATCCTCTGGAGGCTGGATGGCAGCTGAGGCAGACTGAGATGCGAATGGCTGGAAGCTGCTACTCCGTGCACACTCTGTGGCCAAAGGGCAAGCTCTGTCTTTATAGGAGAGCTGCTTAGCCTGCCCAGTGCTGACAGAGAACTGGAATGGCACAAGAATAGGAATGACATGGGCTGAGGTTATCTCAGAGGTGCTGGGAATTTAAACCAAAACTTCCATCTCAGGGTCCAAGAGCTAAGATCCAAAGATTCAGCTCTAATTTGGGATCTGATGCTTATGGGTATATAACTTGAGCAAGACCCTTAACCTCTTTGGGCTTCGACTATCTCCTCAGTCACAGTGGGCTCTTCATCTAGCTCAAAAGTTGCTGAAATAATGTATATAACACATAAGCTGGGCGTGGTGGTGCATGCCTGGGCCAGCACTTGGGAGGCTGAGGTGGGAGGACTCTCTCAAGTTTAAGGCCAGCCTGGGCTACATAGTGGGTTCAAGGTCAGCCTGAACTACAGAGTGAGTCCCTGTCTCAAAACCCAAATAAACATTGGGCAGGGAATGTAGCTCAGCAGTGCAGCATCTGCCTGGCAAGCTCGAGTGTCTGAGTTTGATTCCTGGTACCAAAAAAACAAAACAAAACAAATAAACAAAAAAAAAACCCAGGGCTGAACCACACAAATGATCTTCAACTCCTGCCTAACTATGATTTTTTAAAAAAATTTTTATTAGTACATGTTTGCAGTGCATGATTAGTCATTGCAGGGAGTTGCTACACATACATAACACGTTAGTTCTTTTTACTTCTTTCCATTTCCTTCTCCACCCTCGCCTTAACTATAAGTTTCTGAAAGCTGGAATATAAAGCATGGAACCCACCTTAGTTTATAAACAAACACGTATTTCCTCTATGTCTACGTTCAGAGGACTCACCAGCTTTGTATCCTTGGTCAAAGGCCTTCTTCTTCCCCACCTTTAGCATCTCCCTGTTGATGTCACAGATCATGACATGGGAACCACCCAAGGGATCTTCTTCATTCTTATACTTTTTGGCAATTTCCTCCCAGGATAAATTTTGTTGGGCCTTTAACTGCCTCTTCTGTTTTCTTTGATGCTGTGCCTGAACATAATTAAGGAACCGGAATGCAATGTCACCTGTGGGATGCCAACAGGAAGAAACATGCAAACAAAAACAAAAACTGAAAAATCAGCATTCCTAAACCCCAAAGAATCAACCACTTGAGAGGCTGAGGCAGGACAATTGTCAGCCTAAACTATATACTGAGATCCTAACCCCCCCCCCAAGCAACAATGGTATAGGTATGGATGAGTGTATGAAAATGGAACTTTGGGCTGGAGTGTAGCTCAGAGTGCTTGCCTAGTATGTTAAAGGCCCTGTGCTGAACTGCCAGTCCTGAAAAATAATTAAATTTAAAAAATGTTTTAGGGGGCCGGGGATTTAGCTCAGTGGTTTTGCCACCTGCTGTGCAAGTGCAAGGACCTGAGTTCGATCCCAGGTACCAAAAAAGAAAATAAATAAATAAATAAAAAATGTTTTAGGGCTGGGGATTTAGCTGAGTGGTTCCACCGCCTGCCTCTCAAGCACAAAGACCCAAGTTCAATCACTGGTACCAAAAAAAAAGGAAAATGAAAGTTTAAACTCTTTAACAAGCTTTTCTTTTTTTTTTTTTGGTACCAGGGATGGAACTTGGGTCCTTGCACTTGTGCAGCAGGTGGCGAAACCACTGAGCTAAATCCCCGGCCCAACAAGCTTTTCATTAAACAACTTTTAACCCCTAAGATGCTTTCTTTATTTTTGAGACAGGGTCTTGCTGTGTAGTTCAGGCTGCCTTTGAACCCACTATGTACCCCAGGCTGGTCTTGAACTTGTGGCAATCCTCCTGCCTCAGCCTACCAAGTGCTGGGACGACAGGTGGGTGCCACCATGCCCAGTTTCATCATCCATTTAAAGAAATTTTTAATTTTGTTAGTTCACATTTCCGATACATAATGACTACATTCATATGGGGAGTCAGTACATATATATAAGACACCTTAAGTCTTTTTACACCTCTTTCCTCTCCTCTCCAACATGCATTTTAGAAATCTGTGACATTTTTCTTTCCAAATGTCCAGTGTGGAACAATAAAAAAAGATCATGCACAAACAACTGAGCTTTTGATACCTCATGTGATAGCAGATTAGGTGGAAAAGGCTGCCCAGAAAGCTTATGTAATATAATAAAAGGTTTCCCCTCCAATCAGAAAGGGCAAATGGGTTAAAGGTTCAATAGAAGATGAAATAGGTGGGAGGGTAGCTCAGTGGTAAAGCGGCTGCCTAGCATGTGTGACGTACTGTGTTGAATCTCCAATGCCACCACCACCACCACAAAAGAAAAAAGGTCACTGAAGTCAACACGTGGTCCTTTTACTTTATAATCTTATCTATTGCAGAAAAGAGGTAGGCAAGCCAGGCATGGTGGCACATACCTGCAATCCCAACACTTGGGAGGCTGAAGCAGGAAGATCATGAGTTTGAGGCCAGGCTGGGCTACACAGTAAGTTCCAGACCAGCCTGAACTACATAGACCCCTGTCTCAAAACAAACAAATAAACAAAAACAGGCAGACAAAAATCTGCTTATTTTGTTTATATTGTGGTGCTGGGGATCAAACCTAAGGCCTTGTGCATTCTAGGTAAATGCTCTACAAGGGAGCTACATTCCCACCCTCAAAGCTGTTTTTTTTTTTTTTTAAAGCTGCTTTTGGGGGCTGGGGATTTAGCTCAGCGGTTTCGCTGCCTGCTGCACAAGTGCAAGGACCCGAGTTCAATCCCCGGTACCAAAAAAAAGCAGGTATTTTAGGGCGGAGGATTTAGCTCAGTGGTTTCGCTGCCTTCTGCACATGCGCAAGGACCCGAGTTCGATCCCCAGTACAAAAAAAAAAAAAAGCTGCTTTTGATTGATAATTCTGCGTACTTGTCTCAGAAAATATAAATATCTTCAGTCTAATGATAGGTGAACTAGCTTGTTTTAACAAGAGATAAACACTCTAAAAGATGCTCAATGGTACTTAAGGACCTCAAATTTGGCATTACCTGTGCCTCCAGCAACATCGAGCAGTTGAGTCCCAGGTAGTGGGTTCATCTTCCACAGCAGCATATCTTTCCAAACACGATGGATGCCGAGACTCATCATATCGTTCATCACATCATATTTCTTGGCCACACTTTCAAACACCTGATAGACTGATGGGAGAAACACACAATTGTGCTATTAGTAAGATTAACCCAGAAAAACCCTAAGTGAAAAAGAGAAAGAATGGGGTATGGCACATGCCTGTAGTCCCAACACTTTGAGAGGCTGAGGCAGAAGGCAAGAGGACTTCAAGTTTTCTTTTCTTTTTGTTTGTGTTTTTTTTCCCCCACTACTGGAGATTGAACTCAGGACCTTTCATTTGTGAGGCAGGCATGGCACCACTGAGGTCAATCCTCCACCTTTCAGTTTTTTTCTTTTGAGACACGGTCTCACTATGTAGTCCAGGCTGGCCTTGAACTCATGGTGATACACTTGCCTCAGCCTCTCAGTGCAGGGATTACAGGCGTGTGCCACCACACCCAGGTAGAACTACTTTAAGTAAGGCTATCCACCTAGGCCAGTGTGGTAATACAGACCTGTAATCTTAGAGGCCAAAGCAGGAGGATTGTGAGTTCAGCCTTAGAACTGAATATGTTTCTATTTTCTATTTCTTAGATGATGGAATATTAAGAGTATGTGTGTGGAGAGGGTTTTTTCTTTTCTCTCTCTCTCTCTCTCTCTTCCTGGTGATAGGGATTGAACCCAGGGTCTTGGACATGATTAGACAAGAGTTCTACCATTGGGCCACATCTCCAGCCCAGGAATTAGAATTTTTCTTTTTTTCTTTTGGTACCAGGGATCAAACTTGGGTCCTTGTGTTTGTGGGGCAGGCGATGGAACCACTGAGCTAAATCCCCAGCCTGGACTTTTTCTAATGGTCATTATAATATAAGACATCAAAACCCATGAGAAAGATACATGACTAATAGAGATCAGAAGACACCCTCATCTCATCTCTATCTCCATCATGGAGAATCTCAGGAACAATTTGGTAGACAGATGACAAGCAGTAAATCAAGTTGAAGTTACACTATAGAAGGCTTTCATGAATCTTTTCCACAGGGTGAAAACAGAATGTGGTTCAATCCTTAGTAACAAAAAGGGGAAAAAAAAAGATGTGGAATTTGGGACGGAGGGTGGGGGAGAATCTGCTAATGTGAGACAAGACATTCTTAAGGACACATTCCCTTTAAAGGTTCATTTTAGCTGGGTGTGGTGGTTCACACCTGTAATTCCAGCACTCAGGAAGCTAAGGCAGGGGGAGTACGGCTAGTTCAAGTATAGCCTGAACTACACAGTGAGACCTCATCTCAAAAAACCAACCTTTCCCTGCCAAAGAACCACACAAACTGCCTAAAACTACGTTTTATTTCTTTTGTTTTGTTTTTTGCTGTGTAGTCTAGGCTTGACTTGAACTCACTATGGAGCCCAGGCTGGCCTCAAATTTTTGGCAATCATCCTGCCTCAGCCTCCCAAATTCAGGGACTATAGGCATGTGCCACTGTGCTAGGCCATAAGGTTGAATTAGAAAATGAAAGGGAGATGTCTTGAATTCCTCAGATAAAATGTGCTGCATACAATGTAAAACATTATCCTCTGCTGAACTGGACTATAGAGTACTCCTTTCACTAAACTATTTTTTTCTTTTTTGTGGTATTAACGATTAAATCCAGGGTCTCCTGCTTGCTGGGCAAGCACTCTACCACTAAGCTACCTAGCATCTCTCCCCATTTTTGAGACATGGTCTTGCTAGATTGCTTAGGCTAGCCTCAAATTGGATTCTCTGCCCCAGCCTCCCAAGTTGCTGGTATTACAGGTATTACCACAGCTGGCTTTTAATTGAATTTTGAACGTTTATTCTCCACTCTGAGTCTCCTAGCTGACTACATTCTTTGGAACATCTCTTGGGATAACTGAGGGACACAAAGTTTCAAACCACTGAGTATAACAGTTCTTGCTTTGCAGATTCCAATATGCATAAATTTCAGTTACTTATTCAGTTAAATAACGCCAGTCCCCCAACTTTATAGTGGTATAACTATATTTGCATGAAGTACAAACTTCACTAGCAGTTCTTCAAGCCATGAATCACTACAGTAGTAACAGATAAGCCTCCTGATCAGTGACATCACTTCTCTCCCAGATTGTAGGTGTCTAGTCCTTGAATCAGTTGTTAGGTTCACTTACAGACAGCAAAGCAGCTACTGTGGTTGTGTTGGCTCCTTGTCCTTCAGTGAAATCCTGCATAAATGACAGGAAGCTGGGCAACAAGAATGAATGTGCACCCAGTACCCCCGAAAATAAAAAATGAATGTGCAGCACAGAAATGAAAAATAGTAATGGTGGAGGTGAGATTGGAACCAAAAGTGAGTGGAATTGTGGGAGAAACAAGTGACTGTGGGATACTGACACAGCCTCTATGGGAGAGACTAGAGGTACACACAGCCAGGGGAACTTGGTGAGGGTGAATTTATGGGCATGAAAGAGGAATGTGGATACGACAAAAAAGATCCAGATGTCCCAGTGGAAGTGACGTCAGCCAAAAAATTTACATAAAGCTGAACATGGTGATATATGCATGTAATCTCAGCTATTCAGGATGCTGAGACAGGAGGATTATAAATTAAAGTCCACTCTAGGCAATTTATCCAGAACCTGTCTCAAAATAAAAAGAACTGGGGCCAGGCAGGTGGTGCACATCTGTAATCCCAGCACTCAGGAGGCTGAGGAAGGAGGATTGCTATGAGTTTGAGGCTAGCCTTAATTACACAGGGAGATCTTGTCTCCAAAACAAAATGAAATCCCCGAACAACCAAAAACTAAGAACTGAGGATGTAGCACAGTGCTAGAGTACTGGTTTAGCATGTGTGAAGTCCTAGGTTCAATCCCCAGTATGTTGGTGTAGGGGTATTTAATGTGATTTTTTTTTTCAGTGTTGAGGATTGAACCTAGGGCTTTCACACTGAGCAACATTCCCATCCCTTTTAATTAGTTATTTTTTCCTTTTAATTAGTTATTAATTTCAGTATTAGGGATTGAACCCAGGACCTTCACACTGAGCTGTACACCCGGTCCTTTTTATTTTTTAGGATTTTGGGGTTTTTTTTTTTCAGTACCAGGGATTGAACTCAGGACCTTGCAAGGCAGGCACAGTGCCACTGAGCTAAATCCCCAGCCGTATTTTTTAGTTTGTGATAGGATCTCACTGAGTTGTTCAAACTAGGCTCAAACTTGCAATCCTTCTGCTCAGCCTCCCAAAGTGCTGGGATTATAGGCATGTGTTCATGAAGCCTGGTAATTTCATGGGTTTTTTTGGTACTGGGGATCGAACTCAGTACCTTGTGCTTTCCAGGCAGGCGGCTGCACCACTGAGCTAAATCCCCAGCCCTAATTTCATTTTTCTTTTTTTTTTGGTACCGAGGTTCGAACTCGGGTCCTCAGCTTGCGAGGCAGGCACCAGAACCACTGAGCTAAATCCCTTGCCCTAATTTCATGATATTGAAAGAGCAAATGATAAAATATTAAAGGCTGACAAAAATTTTAGAAAGGAATTATGGCAATTTAAGAAGGCATAGAAAATGTGTTCATTCCTTATTGTAAATTATATTAAATAAAGGTAGCAAATAGTATTCAAATTACCCTTGGTAAATTTTTTAGAAAGAAATAAATCCAGGAGGCTGAGGCAGGAGGATCACTGAGTTTGAGACCAGCCTAGGCTACATGGTGAGTTCAAAGCCAGCCTGGACTACATAGTCAGATCATGTCTCAACAAAACAAAACAAAAAAGGAAATCAATCTTCTTTTCAATATTTTAAATTTTTAATTTTAAAGATTTAAATTTAAAATCTTTAAAACTTTAATTACATTCATTAAAATTAAATCTATTTTAAAA